TTTTCTTTTCCTCTTCCTCTTCTTCTCTTCTTTCATTCCTCTCTTCAAAATATTTTTGGTGGTAGTCTGCTCACCATGTTGGAGAAGCCCGCCCGGCTGCCTGTTCGGCAGCTGGTCATTCTCTGTATGTACTGCAAATTCATATCCTGAGTTCATAGCTGTATACTGATCAATATACTACATAGCAATATGTCGCTTTGCAGAGCCGGGTTCGTTCACTCAACATACTCTCTCAGTAAATCACTTCTAATAAACATTTAAAAACAGTCGTCTTAACCTCCGTCCTTCCCTACCTGGTACATCCCCCTCCCCAATTCCCCCAACTCCAAACCAAAACCAAAACTAATAATGTATAGCCCGAAATGATCGACCACGTCGGCGTCCCCAGATCCGAAGTCGCCAAATGGGTCGGCATCACCAGCGCGGTGACCTCTTTCTCGCAGGCCCTAATGGCCGTCACCTGGGGCACCCTCTCCGACACTCTCGGCCGCAAGCCCATCATCCTGGTCGGACTCACCTGCACCATGGTCTTCTCGCTTCTCTTCGGCTTCTCCTCATCCCTCTCCATGCTGGTCGTCTCTCGCGCCCTGCTGGGTCTCATGAACGGCAACGTGGGCATCATCCGCACCATGGTCGCGGAAATGGTTCCCCAGAAGGAACTCCAACCACGAGCATTTAGTATCATGCCGTTGGTGTGGACGATCGGGAGTATTTTTGGTCCGGCATTTGGAGGCGCGCTGGCGAAACCCGCGGAGAAGCATCCGGGGTTGTTTGGAGGGTCGGAGTTTTTGAGGAATTGGCCGTTTGCGTTGCCAAATATTGCTGCCGCGGCGTTTTTTGTTGTGGGCATTGCGACGGGTTGGTTGTTTTTGCATGTACGTCCATCCCCTTTTTATATCTCAGGGATCGAGGGGCGTGGTATGCTAATGTGGATGTATAGGAAACGCTGGCGGCGAAGAAACATCAACGTGATTATGGATTGGTTGTTGGAGAGGCATTGACTAACTCGTGTACTTCTTCTCGGAATAAGAAGAAGTCGGAGTCTCATGCATCGGATGCAGAGCGCCAATCCCTTCTGCCATCAACTACTATACATCCAGCAACAGCAGCAGCAAAGAAAGCCAAACCCACCTGGGCCGAGATCTTCACCCCGCAATCGCGACTCGTCCTGCTCGCTTACGCTCTCATGTCCATGCACGCCATGGCCTTTGACTCCGTCCTGCCTGTATTTCTACACAGCCCGGTGCAGCAATACGATGGTAATCCTGACATGAAACTGCCCTTCAAATTCACTGGAGGATTCGGCATCGGTACGTCCTCTCATCCCCAACCCCCTCTCTCTCTCCTCTCACCCCATGCTAAACAAAAGAGAATAATAGACTCCCAAACCATCGGCATCTACTACACCCTAATCGGCATTCTCGGCATGTTCATCCAATTCCTGATCTTCCCATGGGCCGCCCACCGCTTCGGCGTGCTCAACTGCCTGAAAGCCGTGGTCAGCATGTTCCCCATAATCTACATGCTCACGCCATTCACGGTGCTCCTTCCGGTTCCGTGGCTGCGCAATGTGGCCATTTTCTTGCTCATGTTTGGGAAGTTGGCCGCTTCGATTTTTGGGTTCCCGTGCACGACGATTCTGTTGACGAACTCGGCGAGTAGTATGAGTGTGCTGGGGACATTGAATGGGGTTGGTACGAGTGTGAGTGCTGTAGGGAGGGCGGTGGGACCTGCTGTGATTGGGGGGCGTATTCGTGGGGAGTGAAGAGAGGTTGGGGGATTTTGCCGTGGTGGGTGTGTGGGGTGTTGGGGATGTTGAGTGCAGTACCGGTGGGGTGGATTGGGGAGGAGAATGTGTTGCAGGGGGATGATGCAGAGGAAGTTGATGGTGAAGAGGGAGAAGGGGAGGGAGGGGAGGAGGGAGGGGAGAGAGGGTATGGAGCTATTGGGGGGAGGTAAATAGGATGATGATGAGGAGGGGTGGGAGAAGGGGTGGGGTGAAAAAGAAAAGTTGATTGATTGATTGTTTGTTTGTTTGCGAAATGGTGCATGCATGCATATATATGATGATGATGTGATATTAAGATCTGATATGATATGATATGATAGAATGGACATGAAATTGATATATAGTATGAAGTGGTTGTACATGGAATACATAGTAGAGAGTATATAGATGGTAGTGGTAAGCACACCAACCAATCAGCATCCACAAATTACACTAGTAGCCTACCTTACATACCTAGCTAGATCATGCCATCATCCCAGTTCCATATAACATAGCTAGCTTACCTCTCCACCACCCTATTCACCTCTTCTACACTCCAACCTACACAACAACCACATCCACATCCAACCCCTTTCAATACCAACCCCAAAACTACAAAACCACAATGGTACGTCCTCCTCCCCATCCATCCCCTCACCACACCCAAACTGAACACTCAACCATGAAATAAATAGTCCACCACAACAACCAAAGTAGCAGCCCTCCTCGCAATCCTCACCTCCGTCGGCGGCATAACCGGCTACCTGCGCGCACGCTCCCTCCCCTCCCTAATCGCCGGATTATCCGTCTCCTTCCTGTACCTCCTCTCGTACCTCCGACTACGCGCGAACCAGCCCTACGGGGCAGAGATTGGTCTTCTGGCCTCGATTGTCCTCGGCGGTGCGTCCATCCCCAGGGCGATTAAGACGGGGAAGGGGGTCCCTACGGGGTTGGGGGTGGTGGCTGTTTTGGGGGTGTGGTTTTTGGGAATGCACTTCTTAGTGCCTGATTAGGTGGATATAAGTATATTGTTATTTATTTGGTAAGAGGGGGGTGTGTATATGGGAGATGAGATGGGGGTTGTATGACAATAGGTTACTACTATTTATGTTATGTGGATAATGGATAATGGATGATGGATGATGATGTGTTCATATACGTAACTAGTCTGTATACAGATAACTAAGCTGTTTCATTATTGGTGTAGTAGTCTGTATGTAGCCTACCTGCTCGATGTTGAACTTACAGTTTTCTTTCTTTCTTTCTTTTGACTCCGTCTGTCCCCTTCTGTGTCTGCCTGTCCGTCTGCTTTGTAGCCTCTCCATGCTACGGTTCGTGTCGCTCGCCGCCCTACACTGTAAGAGACATTTCCAATCGTGCAAGAAACTGAACTTAGCTGCTTGATCCGATCCCCCTTGTCTCTGTCGCTGCCCTCCATGTATTCGCATGCTCGTAAAGCTGTTATACCGGTCTGGCGGGAGGCTGGTGCCTACCGATCCGCTGCATCCTCCACCGTATCCATCTCGCGCGTCGTGCCCGTCACCACCGACGCCGGTACCTCCTCCAGAACCGTCTCGCCCTTCTGTTCGGGAACAAATGCGTACCTTGCCAGCTGTGCCATCTTCTCTTCTGGACTCGTCTCATTATCCGAGTAAACCAGTCGTATTGCCTTCGACTTGTCCTTCTTGGGCTTCTCCTCGCTCTTGGGCTTGTCTGCTGTGGTCTCCGCCTGCTTCGCGGCCCCCGAGATGAGATCGTCCACCGATGTCGAAATTGTATCAGGCGCTTGTGTCGTCTCGCCTCCGTTCAAGGCCGGCGCTTGGCCCATGTGCATCTGCTGCATTTGATACGCGTTGACCGGTGGCGCTGCCACAGCCGGTCGCTGCGGCAAACCTGGAGGCATAGGCAGACTGCCCGACCGGGGCGGGAATGCCCCGGCCGTCTGCGGAGGGGTGTGGGTTGCTGAAGGAGTGGTTCCAAACGATGCCGCCGGCGTACCCTGGAACGGCTGTGGTGAATATCCCGCCGGAGGGTATTGTGCGGTTGGAGGGAATTGGGGCTGTCCCGGGGAGAAATTGGGATAAACAGGGCTGGCGGTTTGAGGATAAGGAGAGGCAGTGCCGTAGGGTTGAGGGTAAGAGAACTGTGAGGTAGTGGTGGGTGCAGCGGCGGGAGCAGCAGCAGCAGCAGCAGCAGGAGCAGGCTGGCCCTGCCTCATTGTTAGTCGCGTCACTAATGTTGTGGGAGATAATACTCACGAATCCGCCCATAGTTGGGGTCTGTCCTGCGCCCACTGGAGTAGCTTCACCACTACTGCCTCCAGTACGTGCTTCCGCCTTCTTAGCCTTGTGCTCCGCCAGTCGCTTCTTCAGATCCGACACGCTCTCCAGCTTGGGCTTCTTCGCTGGCTGTCCGCCAACGCCGGTTCCCGGAGGCGGATTGCCCGTCACGGCCTGCCGTTCGGCCTCTGCCTGTTGGAACTGGGTGGCTACGCGCTGGTTGTGCGACTGGATGATGTCTTCCGGGACGCCCTCCATGCCGAAGATCTCGACGTCGAGGCTGGATCGGTTGGGAAGAGCATTGTCGACTGCCGAAAGTTGCTCCTTGTGGACCTGACTCATGTGCACCGATAACCCTGTGCTGTTAGTAAAATATCGCCACGGCGCATTGGATGACCTACCTCCTGCAGTGTTCAGCCGGCGCCCGCAGCGCTCGCACTTGAAGTGCTTGGCCTTCTGGTGAGATATGAGAATCTTCAAATCATCAAAGTCGCGCTCACAGTAGTAGCACCATGGACGAGCCAGAAGCTCGTCCAGCGTCGGACCACGTCTCTTTTTACCCATATTGATTGAGTCTGTGTTGATGTGAAATGAAAGAAAAGTGATGGGTTGGTGAAGCAGCTCACTTGGTCGCCGACCAGCGCGGAGTTGAAGTGTTGCGTCACGTGGAGCCCATCATGTGACCTGCGTCATCCATCCCATCAAGTAACCATACAATTATCATCAGTATTATATCTACTTTGACTGAGACAGCTGAATAAAGGTATGGCATTAATGTATAATACAGCTTTTTATATGCCAAATGTACATCCTACCTGGTTGGCAATATTCACAACCAACCACGGATCGCAAAGCCCCGACGCCTGTCGCTGAAAGCACGCTCACTAATCACAAGAAACAAAAGCACAATAATACATACGAGCGAAATTAGGATACAAGCCAGGGTGGGTGGATCACGCAGGTCGCGGATGCGGTGGTGGCAGCCCAGGCGCAGGCGCCCCATAAGGACTGTAGTACTCCGGGTATGGTGTGCGATACGGCTGCAGCGGCGCTTGCTGTAGAAGACCATGAGGCCCGGGGAATGGTGCCACCGCTCGAGGATCAATAGGAGCATATGGCGTAAGTGACGGCCGTGGTGCAGCAATCGGCGCGAGCTGATGATGCGTAGGAGGACCAGGAGCCAGAGGTGTCGATGCAGGCATAGGTGCGGGCGCGAGCCCTGCGTTAGGTCGCGCAGGCTCCCCATACACCCCGCCCTCCGGCTTCTTCTTGATCTTTCCCGGCTTCGGGGGCTCAGATGCCTTCCGAGCAGCCTCCGCCGCGCGGTCGGCCTCAATCTGAGCCTTAGATCGTTTGGGATTGCGCACGCGACCCTCACGGTTGAAACGTGCCCAGTGGTTCAGCATGGCCTCTGTTCGCTTCGGGTTCTTTGAGTTGGCAATCTTTTGTCGCCGGGCCTGTTCAGCGGGATCCACCCCATCCTCCAGTGTGCTACCGGTTTGGATGCTTGCGGGAGGCGTAGGCGTCGTACTAGGTGCCGGTTCGATCGGTGCCAACTGGGCAGTGGCAGGTCGTGCCTGAAGGGAGCTAGCCCCATGTTCCCCTCGTCCCGATGACGGCCGTGGTGCTGAGGTCGCAGCGGCCACCGGCTGATATATTTCCGTCGAAGCAATGACTCCACCTCCGCGAGCTGCACCTCTACCGCGGCCGCGGCCACTTCCACGTCCCCGAACCGCACCCCGAGGGGGTGTGGCGGATGCCTGAGCTTCGTCGACCTCGGTGCCAGGGCGACGGCCACGCGTGCGCCGCTTGGGTCCGTACTCTTCGGTGTCAGTCTGAGCCGGTGTCTCGATAGTGGGCTCTTCGGAGCCAGAGGCGGCCATCTCTCGGTTAGCCGCCTCCAGCTCCGCGGCCCTGCGCTTGCGCGTTGCCTTGCCAACAAATTCCTCGCGTGGCGGGTTCTGGAACTTCGGCACGTGCTCGACTCCGAATTTGACGATGGTGCGCCAGCCATCCGGGTTAGGATGATTGGGTCCAATCTTGGCCGTCATCTTTCGGTATTGAGCGGGCGTTGGCTTGAACCCGCCCTGCGTGAATGGGTTCTGGTTGCCCACTTTATCCTCCTTGGCCTCGTACTTGTAGCCGTAGAGCATGGCTTCCTTCTTATCCTCAAATACTTGAGGTCTTTGCAACTTCCTCGGGTCGCTGGTCGGCTTGGCATTATGGCGAGTCGCTACCTTGTGCAGCTTTTCTATGGCCATATACTCGTCCTGCCACGCTTTCAAGGCATATGCCACGTTTTCTGTGATAGCATACAGCTCTTCGGTCGAGCGGTGCTCCGGGTCCCGAAGCGGCGCCAAAAACTCTTCTAGGGGAGTCATTTCTAGGAACTCCCCTTTGGCAGCTTTAACTTGCTTATACGGTCCAGGCCGTTCAGCGAATTCGTTGTCTTCACGCTTTTGAGCGCGCTTCGGGCCCCGGAGCACCATGGACCAAGAGTGATCTAGGTCAGACGACTTCTCGTCGTAGTCTTCCGAGAATTTACGGATATCATTGACACTCCACAGATTATGCAGACGTTGATCCAACGAAACTGAGTCTTGACCGCGAGAGAACTCATGAAGCTGATTAGAAAGAGCGTCAGCCTCGGGGCCGTCAGCTTCATCGCCATCGACGCTTTGGTCCTTGTCGTTATCGTAAGCTTCCGTCACCTCAGTCACGCCATTTGCAGCGGCTTCATCTTGCTCTTCGTCATCCGCTTCACTCTCGGCCGCGACCTCTGCATTGTCCTCTGCTTGAGGGTCGGCTTCGTGGAGTTGAGACTCTTCATCTTCGTCGGCACCCTCATACATGGAGAATTTGGCAATCTGCGGATGAACGGTAGCAATATGTTCTTTGAGAGCATCATATTGCGACTTCGAATCATTGGCAGACTCAAATTCCTTGCCGCACCAAGAGCATTTAGATTTGTGCATCATGGGAGAAGGGGATGGAGACGCTTGAGTAGAAGTAGAGTGAGCGTGTAATGGCTCGGAGAATTGTCGGCGCAGCGGAGAGTCCTGGCTGGCCAAGTCCGAAGTATGGCTGTCCAGTTCCGCCTCGTTATGAGGAAGCGGAGCCATAGTGGACAGAAAAAGAAGGTGAGGAGAAGTAGTAGTCAGATAGAAAGTAGTAGGATGTGAGAATTCTAGCGAAAAGGGATATCTGATCCTCCTTCGAGGGGCCCAACGTGGGATCTGGCTATAGTGTTAGTCGACTAACTTCCGGCTGAAAAGTTCGCTTGCGGCGCCAAGACGCCAGAAGTAACTGCAGCGCAATCTTCTACACCAGAGCCCCGAGAGCGTAAGGGTGGGAAAGGGGAAACCAAAACACGGTCGAGCAATCGAGACAAGTGAGATGCATGAGGAATTGGGCTGCTCTCCACTGGAGGATGGACCAAAACATTGACAGAAACGTGGCAGACATGGCTTTGGCAGGCACAAGTAGAGCGTAGTATGGGTCAGGCAGGTGATATGTAACATACCTTTGGGCGAGAGAAAATCGCGTCAGTTGATTCCAATAAACTGAGAGGAACAATATTTGAAGATGTGAAAAGATCGCCCTCTGAGGAGCGCGATAGAGCAGAAGTATTGTGGTTGTTGTGCAGAGTCAACCACGGTGGACGCCGCGAACGGTTGGCAGGGATAGTTTAAGAGGTTCGTAGTTCTTGAAGAGGAAAAGTAGGAAGCCGAGCGGGTAAGCAGAAAAACTATGCGTCTGCCAGCGCCGGCAACAAACCAAGAAACCAGAAGCAAGAGATCTAGACAGAGAAGATAGAATGCACCAGATGAAGGGATTGAGATAGATGGCAGGTTATGTTTGCTGTAGAGAGGAGAAAAAGAGCTGGGGGTGGGAGTGTTAAAGCTTTCCGTAGCAGTGGAACTATGAAGTCTTGACGGAATGGGGGAAGACGGGCAGATGGCGAAAGAGGGAGGAAAAGGAAGAATGAAAGGGAGAAGATTCGGAGAGGGGGGAATTAACCACGAGGAACACCACCAACAGCCCAGCACCAACACGGGAAGCGGGCAAGAAGAGGCAAGCAGAAGAGGATTGTGGGATGTTTAGACACAGTGAATGCTGGGGGGAGAAAAGGAAGGGAAAGACTTGGAGTTTAGTTTGTAGAGGCAGCAGGTCGCCTTCACAAAGCGATCTAGTAGGAATAGTAAGTCCCAGTAAAGAAAGTACTTGAGCTTTACACTTACCTTACCTGGCCGGACTGGCCTTTGCAATCAACTTTTCGCACTGGGTTGGTATCGGCACCGCTTGGTGCTGGTACGCGCCATACGCAAGTTACCTTATTTTACTGTATGGACCCACCCAAATAGCCAATCTGGGGCCCTAATCCTCCCGGAAAAAGACCACCTCCGGATAGATCCCCGTCACGCAGACGCCGTAGTCTTGATCAGGCCAATCAAAATAATCGCAGTGGTCTGCTGGTCTGTTACCGGACAATACCCTCCCAGTCCTGTAGTCCAGGTCGGAGGTATACCTTGAGCGCCCTGAAGATGGACTTGTTGATGCTGAGGGATGCTTTTTCCTTTTCCTACCAGGGGCTACTCTTGAGTGAAAAAGTACCCCTGATTCAGGTAAAGTATTGACTATCGCAGTAGCTGTCAACTCCACCTGGGGAACCGGGGGTCAGATCACAGCACAGTTGGCGTCAACTTGGTCTCATCTTTCGGGTTGCCAACCTGATAGATGGACATTCATCGACCGTGTACCTGCCTGAGTCATGGGGCGGTATTGTTACCCCGTCTACGTGACATCATCTACTACGGTACTTTATCGAGGGACAATAATCTCTAGTCAAATAGTAGTCAGAATACTCCCTTCCAAGGCATCATCGCTATACTTTAAGCTGGAAAGGATCGAGTGACCTTTTCCTGTTTTCCAAAACGAAGGACAATGTGAGAAAATGGGCTGATGGTGTTCGGGAGCGACCAGTCAAATTGCCAGTGGTTGATAAACCATCACGGAATGTCTCGGTAACAATTCATGCTGAAAGCATACTATGAAATGAGACGAGCGGGGGAAATGATCGAGTTCTGGCAGGTTCTGACATGATCATTAGGTAGCTGCGTAGACGTTGGTGGGCCCAGTCTTCCTCACACTCATCATTATCATTGACAAAGTATTATTATGATGGTACTATTGTTATTATAGCGCAAGCTAGACCTATGATCCAGCTCACCACGACTGATTCGGACTGTTCCTAATCAATTGATCCCGGTGTTATCTCCCAGTCTTATCAGGCATAACACCACCACCGCGGATTTCGTTTGCTGTCTCATCGCTATTGTTCAGCAAAATGTGGAGAATGGTCCATACTATCACTGTAGCAATAAATGGCTTCTAAACACCTAAGAAATTATCATATTCTTTACAAATTACCGGCTTAATGATATAGATGTCGCCATATCCCTGCCGTTGAGGCATCAAGTTTTCTTGACCTTTTATACATTTTTATGGCGTCGATATACTTCACCGCGCACCCTTCAAAGCTTGCTGCGAAGCTTGCTACAGATTCTGAGATGTATTTATTTTTATCACATCAAAGATAGCCTGACACTGCTTTCGTGCTCTTATTGTTTCCAGTAACGCGCGCTGTTATTCTTTCGATATTGAATCACAGGGAGCCGCCACGCGGCAGCGTACTGTAATGCTAGCACGCAAAGCGTGTTTCATCCCTCGACTATGAAGGACTGGGGCAGAAGCGCCGTCTCCGATAGCATAATAGCTCCTGGGGTCATCAAACTTACAAACTGAGCGAGGATGTTGTCTTCCTTCCGGATATTGGCAAGCAAGGGGGTGAAAACTCATGGAAGATCGACTTGCAGCGCTGACACTCACATACCCCTACGTTAACATCTAATCATAACTCGTGTCGAGCATGAAGTCAGATAGGTAAAATATCTTTGAGAATATTGGCCGTACATACAGAGACATGTTGTGCAATGGATATAGCGGCGGTCTGTTTGATTGAGGATTGAGTTTTGGATTCTCATATGCAGGACGGAGTGAGGTGGGGAGGCCTTTGCTTCTTTTTACTATGAGATTAGCAGGAGGTACTATTGGTGTCGCTTGGACTCTCTTGCATTATTGGGTAGCAGGTAATGCATGTTCAGAAAAGCACCAGCTGCCGTCCCACTCAGCGTTATATATAAGCTATTGTCAATTGGGTTATCGGGTGTGACTGCCAGTATTTATAGTACGATGCTATTACCATAATGTAGTCGAAAGGTGTACTTTGTTGAACTGGATAAATGAATGAAGACTTGACGGTGAAGCAGTAAGAAGTACTTGGAATGCGCTCGATAGACAAGATCCTAATTGATAGCGAGTTCCCCTTGATGTAGTAACTCAAGAAAACCAAAATGTAAGTACTTCATAGCAGAACTCGCTAGTTGACAATATATATTTTTAACATGGGCAATGCACTACTAGTTGGATGGTCCGTCGAATATCTATTTATAGCTTAGTTTGCTGCGACTGCAGTATCCTGCAGTGCTTCTAGTATACACGCGTCGACGGTTATCGCCAGTCGATTCAAGTGAGACAAAAGGCCACTGCGAGAAAGCCACCCGCCATCTATATTTTAGAGTAAGTATGGCATTGGACGAATCCCTCCAAAAAGTAGAGTAAGAAAGATACTTCACCCGCTAACGCCTCCTGGGCCCTTGGCGCAGGTCATCCGGGCTCCACCGCCCAACCTCGGATTCCCCAGAGCTCCAGCTTGCCGTCCATTCCTCCCCGATATTATTGTCTTCTTTTTGACTGTTAAACCTGCCCGCCATCTTTCAATATAACATACCCTCACTCATCATAAGGCATCGCTACCATCTGCACGATGCGCCCCAAGTCATCAAAACCCACCAGTGATGAGCTGCTCGCTCAATTTGACGACCTGGGTGTCGACTCTGCCCCCGAACAGCAGCCCTCCAAGGCGGCTCCCAAACCCACTACCGCACAGTCCGAGCAGGACATCCTCGCAGAACTGGACAGTCTAGCTACTCAACGCCCCAGCAGTGGCCCAGGCACCCCGCGCGTGTCTACAAACGAACCAAGACCTACCATCAAGTCGCCCAAACCGGCTGCAACAGCCACAACCCCCTCCACCGGCCGTTCTAGTGAAGAGAAACAGGCGCCTCGTAAGTCGGAAGAGAGCACCAGAGCATCCGCTACAGAGAAGAAGGCTGCAGATGCGCCGAAGCCGGAGACTGAGAAGCCAGAGGCCCAGGAGAAACCTGCCTCGAGCGGTGGTGGCGGTGGATGGTGGGGTGGTATCTTTGCAACCGCCAGCGCTGCCATGAAGCAGGCTGAGGCAGCGGTCAAGGAGATCCAGCAGAATGAAGAGGCTCAGAAGTGGGCACAGCAAATCCAGGGCAATGTGGGAGCTCTCAAGGATTTAGGTATGTATTCTCGAGACAGACTTGTTTCGTTCTGAATGGCCGCTAACGACAAACCACCAGGTGGGGAGCTGCGCAACATGGCTATTCCTACGTTTACATCTTTCATCCACACGCTCGCCCCTCCCATCTCGTCCCATGAACGTCTTCAAATCCACGTAACACATGATTTGTCTGGCTACCCCAGCATCGACCCTCTGGTGTACGCGGTGTTCTCGCGCGTGATGGCGCAGGTCGAAGGCGGGGATCTCCTTGTCATCCAGCGGGGTCAGGAGTCAGCCCCGAAGCGCGGACTGGATATCGGCGGCGCCCAGTTCTCTGGCCCGGGCTGGCATGATGGCCCATGGTGGCGCACCGTGACGCCCGGCAGCCCTCGCACTCTGTCGGCCATCCGAGGCACAGTCGAGGCCACCAAGCTTGCGCGGGCCAGCGCCGAAGCCTACGCTACCGAGTACTTCTCGGCCAAGGGCGGCGTCGAAGCGGCTGCAAAACAAGCTACCCAAGATCTGAGCGAGACCAACCCGGTCCGCAGCAGCGACATCTTCCTCGCGATCCAGGCCATCAGCCAGACCACCTCCACCGAACTCTTCCAGGCGGGTCCCACAACCGACCAAGCCACCCCAGCAGGTGTTGTCGACGTGCCCGAAGCCGCCGAGGAAGAAGTCGTCTTTGCACTG